GCCTCGGAAACAACGTCAGCATGAATCTTACAGTAAAGCCAATCAACAGCTGGTCAAGAGGAATCCGCCATCTTTTTCCGGTGGAACCGACCTTCGAATCTCTTCACCCAACACTTCCACTCGAAATGGAAGTAAGCTCAACAGGTTTACCTCACTTAACTTGAATATGGTCTTCACCTTGTCTGGCACCCATGAACCCATAAAATGACATTGTTTACCGTATTTTGAGTGTCGTTACAATTTTACCACTCCACAACAATCACAGGACCAATGTGGCATTCAAGGCAGTTGAATTCGACGACATTACTTATTTTGTAGAATTACCGACATTCTTGTGAGTTACTTGCGTCAAAAAAACAATCTTTTTTGATAAAGTTATGTCCTTGTTTCAAATCACGGATGTTAACTAATCCAGCAGCGCACCAGCATACAAGAGATGCTGCTAATTTTCAAACATTTAATAGAATATCCCTCCTATTTTTAAAATATTGTATAGAGTACCTTTTTCCATCTTTACTATGATTTTTTTCCATATACTCCAGGCTGACACAATTTCGCATTATACTGGGCGATTTCGACTTTAACGCCTTGCAGTCTGCGAATCGTGTGATTGGCCCGATTTACTTCGTCGTCTACGTCTTCTTCGTATTCTTTGTGCTGATTAACATGTTCATTGCCATCATCAACGATACGTATGATGAGGTTAAGACGGAGATGAAAACCTCAGACGACGCGCTAGAGTTGAAGTCATATCTTAAAAAGGTTAGCCTATTTGTTTGTCTGACTCTCTGGGCTTCCACAACACACTGAGATGTTCATACTCTTTGGCCTGTCAGTAGGAAGAGACGGATGTTCGTGTGATTTGTATATAGCAACGCGAAGGTACAATTGGATTAGCAGTCAAAGAAAGATTACCAGTAACTTGACAGTCGTCGAGGATCTAGATGAAAAGGTGACTTGAGAAGAAAGAGGCGCCAACTGCAAGATAGAGCATAGGAGGTGTCCTTGAGTAAGTAGATCTTCCAACTGTGGTTTTGCTACCGACTTTTGGTTGGTCTAAGAGGTCCGGTTCTGCTAGGTCTAAAGATAGGCTTGGTATGGTGTCGCGATTTACTTGATCACTGGGAAAGAGGAGTGTGGATATTAACAAGTGGTCTTTTTTCAAAGTGAGTCGACGCATGTTACCAAGCAAATTCAACAATTATAGAAGGAAAAAGTAAGGATTGGTCATCACATCTTTCACACGCTTACGATTCAATATATTAAACACATTTCAGAAAAAATTCCTGAAAAAAATTTAAGGTGTGATATTAGGGAAGCCTGGCTTGTTTTGGAATTCACACTGGCTATGTGAACCTCCGTGGCGGTATGGCGGAGTCGTGACTTGTTAATATCCACACTCCTCTTTCCCAGTGATCAAGTAAATCGCGACACTATTGAACCCTTATTCAAGCCTTAGGTTGTTTAAGGTGTAGCAATTACTGCGAAATGAGTAGATCTTACGATAACATTGAATTTAACTAAGCCTTTTTAAAATTACGTTATAGTTAGTGTTGTGTTGAGGCAAATTTTTATTTTTCCCTACAATCGACTACGCTACTTATATTCATGCTGAGTAGGTTTATAGTCAACCTATAGCTCTTCAAAAAGAATTTAGTCACCCTGTCTCGAACCTTGTTAAGAAGGCTAGTGAGAATGGTTCCGTGGTGAATCCGCACTCCACGACTTTCCGAAGGAAAAACGGAATAGGATCCAATAGCACACTCATTATGTAGTGGGGAAATTCAACGATCGTCCTACATCATTTTATCAAACCTAAGATGATGACAATTGGTATTCAAGATCTACCGATGATATCCAAATCGACTAACTGCGCAACTATATCATTGTATTCAAGCCATCGTCTTGTTGCAAGATTATTATTACAGATTGTACCTTGAATTAGTATTCTTCCTAGAACTTCCGAGAAACTTTAGCCCAAACTTCTCTATTTTTACGTTTACATGAAGACTTACAAGAAAGAGATTGACAAGAAAGTGTTACCAACTCCACAAGTTAAGATCTTCCTTGAGCCAACTTATTAATTTTTACCCTAATTCTTGGTATACAGAGCAAAATTCAGCACCCCATTCA